GTTAAGTTGGTCTTTTGTAAAAACACCATGAGCATACAAGTGAAAATAATATTCGCTATTAGACGTATAAAAACATTACTGAATGTACATATGTACTCGTACATTCCAATAGTAATGAAGTCATGACTGACAGAAGAAAGTATTGTTGTGGTGAAAAAATTGACCTACAAAGCTTTGGGAAAATCAAATAAAAAGTTTTACTCTTGCTTCACTACATATACATAATAAAATTCAACGTATTTTCATTTAAGAAAATGTGTACTAAAATATTCATTAAACAAAATARAAGAAGTAATGAAGTGCAAATTCGGGAAATGTACTGTCATTTCATACTATTGCAACTTGCCATACCTTCGAATGTTGGCAAGGTTTTATTTTAAATTTGTTGCGAAAGAACTCAACATTTTTTTAAATTAAAAGTCATCGACTAACGTAGTTTAATTTTTTTTTTAATACCTGTCAGATTATATTAAAACTATATTATTTTAATTCTCATTTCACGAAAATATCATACATACAGATGAGAAGTTTTAAATCACTATTTACAGTACAGATTGATCAGAAAAGGGTTGGCTGATTGAACAAAATTTACACTTTACTCAGGTAGACTCGAGAACATAAACCCAAGCAATTTTATAAACATATAATATAACCCATTCACCAAATTTTATATTTTTTCGTCAATAAGCTATACACATATGTAATATATTACGTTCAGTTAATTTTGTCAAAATATTTTAGATTTTGGCCAATATATTAGGTTGTCAAAAAAGTCTTGCGGTATTTTAACTAGTCGGTTTTATTCGTCGCATTGGGTTATGCTATACCTTTTTGGAAAGCTCATTTCACGTGTTTGATTGATTTTCGTTTCTTTTAAGTCGTTCGTGAGTTATAGCGTCGCAAACATGGAGCAAAATAAAGAGAAAATACGGCATATTTTACAGTACTATTACGATAAAGGCAAAAATGCATCTCATTCCCAAATTCCTTTTCCACCGACGGAAGGCCTGTCGTCGAAAATAAATACCGCAAATATATTGCCAGACTTTTTTGACAACCTAATATATGGCCAAACCGAAAGTTTGAAAATCTCATATTAGGTAAAGGGGTAGYATTATTAACAGAAAGAAATGTTCTCTGAATTTCATAAACCAATATACATATGCGGTATTTGAAAATACTGATATTAGTCATGTAGGATCCAGGGCAAGTTTTCATCCGATTTTATCCAGTTTAGGCACAAATTTCTTGCAAATAAGTTCTCAACCTACCCCAATAATGTCAGAAATTAAGTAATCAGCCATTCCATATCTTTGATTCCAGTATATCTAATACAATTATTTCCGATATTCCTCGTGACTTCTTAAGTAAGTGGAAATGTGTGATATTTTAATAGTTTAAAAGTTCCTTGTATCTCCGATAATGAAACTTAGTACACATGTTCCTTTTATCCATAAAAATGAAAGATAATGAATTCATTGTTGATGGACGTTATAACTCCAATGCCACATAGGTAGGTACATTTATGGTTTGAAAATGTGGGCGCATATCTCCGGACCTATTCGAAAAATAAATAACATAACTAAGATATTTTCATATTACAGTGTGAAAATAGGCGAAATAGGAACATCTTAAGTCTAAAAGTTGTCAAAACCGAACTATAACTGTTCTAGCCCCCAGTTACTGAATACGAAGTCCCTAGCAGGCACCTGATGACTTCTTAGCAAATAGCATTTCATTCTGTTAATAGTATGTGGTGTTGSCAAACCAAAATAAAAATCTCGTCAATACCACACCTGCGTCCGATGTACCTGATATAAGATTTTCGAACTGCCAGTTGCCTTTATACAGTATACATATATCGGTCAATGTTTAAAATAACTTAAACAAAATTATCTGAACGTATGATATTGGATATACTTTAGTTTAATGTCGAAAATATGTCAATTTATATTATAATAGACATACAAATACATACATAATGATTTACGTTATTCTAACAATCCTTATGACGAATATGTCGGCCTAGTTTGTCACTAATTTATTTATAAATTTGCTTGAATACACGTTCTCGAGTGTACCTGAAAAATGTCAATGGTTAATGCAACAAGTCCAGACTTCTTTCTGCCCCAATATTTTTTATGGCGATTTCCAACTTTCCGTCCGTTTCTTCTTCTTCTTTACTGGCATAGACACCGCCTACTCGGTTATAGACAAGTTAAAAACAGAGCTCCAATCGTATTTTCTTTTCACTATTTGGCGTCAAGTCGAGATACTAAGTTTAGCCAGGTCCTGATCTCTCCAACGGAGGTGAAGTCTCCTCTTCCTCTGCTTCCACCGCCGGGTACTGAATCCAAAATCATCAAAGCTGGATTGTTCGTTTCCATCCAGACAATATAACCTAGCCAGCGCAGCGGCTGTCTCTTGATTCTCTGAACTATGTCAATGTCGCACAGCTCATATTTCACCTACTGCGGTACTCGTCGTTGCCAATGCGCTAGGCCCCATAATTCTTCTAAATCTTCCTAAATCCGACTCACCAGATAATGATATTGACATGCCTCCGCACCATATAGAGGGGCGGAAATGATAAGATACTTGTAGAGTTTGGTCTTTGTTCGTCGTGAGAGGATTTTACTTTTCAATTGCCTACTCAGTCCAAAGTAGCATCTGTTGGCAAGAGTGATTCTTCCTTGGATTTAAAGGCCGATATTGTTGTTGGTGTTGATGCTGGTTTCAAGAGAGATGAAATTATCAACGACAAAGTTATGTCTGTCAACAGTTACGTGCGAGCCAAGTTGTGAGTGCGATGACTGTTTACTTGATGGAGATATTTCGTGTTCCMYTCGTTCACTACAAGACCCATTTGCTTTGATTATTTACCCAGTCTGGAGAAACAGACTAACGGAACGGATATTGACGGCAATGCTATCAATTATTACCTGCATACGACAGCAGCTGTGCACTCTTATAGAAAATTTTATCTGCTCGATTAAGTTCTGCATCTTGACTTTTTTTCGCCAGCAGTAAATTGTGGAAGTCGTAGGATAGGCATTCACATTGTCTGAAACCTCGTTTGGTATCGAACGGCTCGCTGAGGTCCTTCCCGATCCTGATAGACCATTTGGCTTTTCTCAACGTCAGTTTAGTTCTCTCCATAACTTCTSTACTCTCTGAACATAAGCCACGAGATCACCACTTTGGGTGTTGCAAGTATATTCAGGCTGAAAACCTTCAGTTAGTTGCCACATCTTTTCGTAGAACTTTCAAGTATTACCCCTGTCCAGTTTCTCAAGCTCTTCATACTAATGCACACTGGAGACATTTCGTCCATCTATCTGAACATAATCGATCTGGTTACGAACTATTCGATCCGGAAACTACAAGGTAGGTAGAAGGTAGATTAAGTAGACATATTTTTTTAATTGTAATATTATATTAATGAGAGATATGGGCTTAATAGTTTATTATAATTTTAGCTGACGTGAAGTTTAATATTACCATAATACTAAGTGAGTCAATGAACTCTAGTATAACTTAATAAAACCTCAATTTTGAATGTATTCCAGTCACGATTTTGCCGATTATCGAATGTTGATTTCTTTCGCTACATTTTTATACCCTTGCAGTATGTTGCTACAGAAAAAAATTCGATTTCCTAGATGGACTTAAATTTTGAAAAATTGGCCCTTCCGAGGTCAAAATTCACTTTTAGGTGAAATCACTAATCTCGAGATCGAAAATAACGTGACATACCTTTTCGTGGGTTTACAGGAGAAGCAATAAACCGTACAAAAAGAAAACCACTTGAGATATTGAAACAAAATTTTCAAATCTGAATTAACATGGAACTGTAAGTACATATATTTTATATAAAAAATAAATAAAACATAAAGCAAATTTTATATTAGGCGTTTGAATTTTCATTTTTGAAACAGAATAACGTATGATCAATCTAAATTTGTTTAAAAACTAAAAATTTAAATATTAATATTTTATTTGGTTGGTGGAGGGGTCTACTGCCGGGAACTCTCTATCAACTCCATTTTCAGACTTTCTGCCTATTGCAGTGTTTTCCAGGCCGAGGTTGCAGCTATTAAAGTAGCAGTAGATTTACTGCCCCAGTGTGCAGMCTCCTTCAGAGAAGTGACCATCAACTCAGATAGCAGAGCGCCAATACTAGCCTTGAACTCATTAACAGTGCGTTCAAGGCTAGTCAAAGAGTGTCTAACTTCGCTATTAATAGCATCGATTGTCTTTGTGATAAGACTGGTATGGCTAGGTCACAGTGGAATCGCAGGGGGCCTATTCTGTAACTCGATTCGAAAAAAAATTTACTCGATTTCGGATTTTTTATATTCCGTAACTCGATTTTCGGATTTTCAAGCCAATTTTTAAATATTCGTTAGCTTTTGAGTTGTAGAAAGCAAAAACAAAAATTGTACGTATTTATTCTGGCACAGGGTATTACAACTTTCGAAAAATTATAAAGTAGATCCGAATTTTGAATAGAATACATTTACGAATCGAGGGTCTCAGGAAACTGAAAAGATATTGAGCTAGCAACAAAAGGCACCTTGAACCGCTAGTGGATCAGTGTAGGTATCCCACCGTACTGGGACTACTCAGCGTTTTGTCATTTAACCTAAATTAACTAAAACACATTGAACATAACCAATAAAAATAAACATAAACAATAAATCAAGGCTAACTTCGTGATAAAAATAAATAAATAAAATAATACTACAAATACTTATTTTTACATGAGTGCTTAACCTTATTTTTTTTAACGACATCAAGCACTTGATGATACGTTTTGTCCAACTTGAGGATTTCTGATCGCCGAGACTTACGCTTTGTGACATATGTATATGCATGTAGTATAATGTGGTGAATCGTAATTAATAAAAAAAACTCAATTCTGAATTTTTTGATAATACGTTATTTCGCATTTTAGGTGACGATATGCTTAATATTTTTCACACCAACTCAATATAATAAATTTCACTTATCTCATTTTAACATGTTTTCAATACAATTTTAGCAATAAAGTAAAATCCAAGTTAATATCCTTCAATATATGTAAAACAGGAAAATACCAAATTTAGCCCTTCGTTACTTGTTTTTGTTTAATTTCTTTTGATCATATTGTCGAAAGAAAAATTTTGAAGTACATTACATAAAAATTGATTTATATTAAAACCACAAGTACTACCGCTTTCTATTGATTTTTCTTCCATTAGCACTACCAGCACGTTTGCGGCCACGTCCCGACCTTCCGCGTGAGTAACTTCGTTTAGCTGTTGATTTCCGGGCACAACTGCGTCCTYTTGGTCGGCCTCGAATTTTTTTGGAACGATGAGGCGATGCAAACCCCAAGTCAGGGTTAACTCGTCGGCCATCAAAATTGTTTGGCACGTTACATTTCTAAAATGCAGAACTTAATCAAAATTTAAGATATAATGTGAATTAGGTATTACAGTCATCTTCGAAGGTACTATGCTATTCTTATCAGCATCATTTTGAACCACCGGGTTTCCAGTTCCTATTGCTGGCTGTTGAACTTGTAGGTTCCCTGATGTTGGCACAATTTTGGTGTTTTTAACATTGCTTGAACGAAAATTGAAAGGCATGCGTATGGTTTCGTTGGTTAAAGTTAAAATCCCTAGCGATTGGCCCACACTTAAAGCACGCTGCAAAGCGATCCGAACATTTCCATGGCGCGTATTATTATCAGCAATTAGTTGTTCTTCAATGTCTTTGCAAATATGATCAAAAGTGTCACCTGCAACGCATATTTAAACGTATATATGCTTATTAAAAGCAGATAAAAAAACAGTAGTTCTTTTAAAAGTATTACAGAGCTCCGGCTTGCGACTTAGTGTCTCCAAAATATATGGCAACAATGTTGAATTTGGATCCTCCATTGAAATAATATATATATATATATATATATGTATATATATATGTACAAAAAAGAATTTGGGAACAAACTTTTCAAATAAAAACTGAATTAAAAATGAATTATGAACATTTTTGATTTTAAAAGCTTTGAAGAAGATATTTATTTATTTTGACTTGTAGTATTCGACAAAGTGCTGTGCTGATTGTGTAATATAATAGGATCTCGGAATTCCTCAATTACTTACAAGTGATATAATTTCGTATATATGAAATACTTTTTTTAACTACAACTTTTTTCTCAATAATCGTTTATTGTTACTTCTGCGAATATAGTTATTGTTGATAAATATTAATTAAGTTGACTAAACATTTTCAGTATGGTATATATAAACAGGTTTTACCTATGATGTGTTGGTATTTGGTAAAACAGTTAGTCAGATTATACAAGATTAAAATGTCATATGCTTTATCAAATAGCAATGGATAAGACGGCTCGGTTAAGTAACGACTCTTGTTAACAAGCGAGCGCAGAAGAAAATTGAAGAGGCCACAGCATTCACCACAGAATCAAGTGGAAAACCGCGATCAAGAAGGATTGATGAACGATGAATGAAAAGAATAAATGGAGAAGCTTGGCAAGCAACAGCAGACAAAATCTTACAAAGAGCTGTAGCGAGGAACGATGTTGATGATGAAGTTCATATATTTTTATATATGTAGATATTTGCTTTTGAACACATGTTCAAATTTAATTTGCAAATTAAAAATTCTTTATTATTGTTTATTATTCTTAGTATACCAATGATTATTGGTAATATTATTTGTACAGACAAGTGTCACGCCACGCGGTTTTTARATTTTAAGTAGACAGCTTTATATTGGCACGCGCACATTATCAGTATGAAGACATTGCCCATTTCACAGGTCGCATTGTAGATGGTAATAAATAAATATGCAACAGTATATATAAATATGTATATGTATTTATACATATTCTTGCATGTGGCCATATGCATGACACGTAAAAATCAGTGCGATAATTATAATTATCAGTCGGGATTTAAATGATTTTGTAATCTAGTTGTACATCCATGAAAGAAAAATACATAYAGAAAAAAATACTAACACCAATTCATGCATTACTTTTGTTAATATGTATACAATTTGCATAAGCATATGGAAATTTTAAAACAATTTCGCTCTGATAAGTGAATTGTCTAGGTATTATCACCAAACGAGAATCAAAATAAGCGTGATCAGTATAAAAGACGAAAAAATAGTCGCGYTATTCCATATGATCAGATTGACAGAAAACTGCGGCAAGAAATTTTTTAAATGAGTCAGAATGATAAAATGTGTGTTTAAACTTATTTTGAGTACAACAATGCATATATTGTTCATTATGACTAGCTAAGTATATATATATAGTATCTGTAGGAAAGATGTGAAACCAGTTCTCACTGAAATGGATACTGCTGTCTGCTTTTGGCTAATCCTGTGCGAAATTAGACTTTAACGTAATTCTGTGCAGATAAGCTGGCACCAAAGTGTTGTAAGGTGTGCAGAGTTTATTTGATATAAACCCACTAAGAGTATGAAATTTTAAATATTATTTATTAATTTTAATTTGTTGACATTTGAATTTAAGGTTAATTAATTTTTTAATGTTAAAACGCCTATGTAAACTTTAAAGAATGGGGGAAATTTTAGTACAGATAACTAATATGGTAAGGGAAAGGGATAAAAATTATAAAAAAATTATAAAATAAAAGTAATTCCAAATTGATTTAAGGGATCGTCTCGCTGATCCTCCGAAAAATCACTGGTTTTCTCGATTTTTTTTCCAATGTTTTTATTTTATAATCAATTACATTTATAGCGGAAACAAAATGGCTTTTTTATGTTTGGGTGTATAATAATTGAATAAATTGTTGAAATGACACGATGTCCACGATTGCGGCCGCAATTTGGATCTATAACTAAAATTTTAAAAAGATTATTAAACTGTTGAGAGTGGAAACCGTTTTGAAAACACCATTCTTAGAAAAAGGCATTTAGAAATTGAAGTCGCTCCTTTCCACACTCTGTTCCCTTTCTACAAGAAACGCTGTAGCGACCATAATAATTTAAATTTCAATTTAAATTTCAAAATTTGAGAAAATTTTTATTACATCATACGAGGTGTGTTCAAAAAGTATCGCGAATTTTGAATTTTCGCGGGTTACGTATATATCGAATTTTTTGTGGCGTTATGTTGATACTCATGTCTCTCACTTATGCCGACAAGCTCGGCCATATTGAATGCTCATTTAATTGTTGACAGCTGCTTTGCTTGCACGTGTTTTGGATCGTCTTCGATTACCTATTCAAAAAAATGGATTAAAGAACCTGTATCAAATTTTGTGTGAAAAACGAAATTAAGTGCACGGATGCATTCCGAATGTTGACTGTGGCATACAGAGAAACTACCTTGGACCGAAGCAACGTTTATCGGTGGTACAAAAGGTACAAAGTGTTCTCAGAAGGCCGAGAAGATCTGACAAAAATTGGCTTTTGCATCACGATAACGCCCCTGCTCACACATCGTTGCTTGCACGCACGTTTTTGGTCAAAAACAACACACTAATGATGCCGCAGCCACCGTATTCCCCAGATCTGGCCCCCTGTGACTTTTCCTTGTTCCCTAAACTGAAGAGGCCCATGAAGGGACGACGTTACGCTTCTGTTGACGAGATAAAGACGGCATCGAAGGAGGAGCTGAAGAAGATAAAAGAAAAATGATTTTTTGAAGTGCTTCGAAGATTGGAAAAACCGTTGGCACAAGTGTATAATATCTCATGGGGATTACTTTGAAGGGGACAAAATAGATATTCATGAATAAATGAATAATTTTTCAAAAAAAAACATAGAACTTTTGCATACCCAAATATGTTTTCACAATATATCCAACAGTTCTTTTGATATACAGTTAGTCACTTAAGTAAGTATACACTACATATATCTGCATTATTTTTGCACTAGGTTTCTTAAATAACACAAAACATAAGAATTCAATTCAAAAACGCATACAAAATGGCACAATATAAAAAAAAGTTTACTACACTACATATATCTGCATTATTTTTGCACTAGGTTTCTTAAATAACACAAAACATAAGAATTCAAGTCAAAAACGCATACAAAATGGCACAATATAAAAAAAAGTTTACCAATTAAAAAAGATTTGGTACAAATTCATATCACAAAAGTAAGTATATGTATAAAAGCACAAATATTCAATTAATTATAAAAATATTATTTGAAAAGTCGACTTCTAGTATTTGGTTGGATAACCATTGGACTTAATAATAGATTTAAGACGTGATGGCATTGATTTCACCAAATTTGCGGTGACTGCTTGTGGTATTTTATTCCATTCTTCCTGGAACGCGCTTTTTAATTTTTCCTTGCTTCGTATCGAATATTTACGCATTTGCCGCTTTAGATGTTCCCATAAATSTTCAATGGGGTTTGTATCCGGTGATTGGGGTGGTGTTTTAAGCTGTTTTTGCACATTGTATAAGAGCCATTCTCGCCAACTTTTGTCGTGTGCTTGGGATCATTATCCTGCTGGAAGATGAATGACTCCTCCAGCCCCAATTTAACATCGCTTTGCTTCAAATTATTTTTTAAAATGTTAAGGTAATCGTATCGGTCCATAATAGTTTCGATAAACACCAGATTGCCTAATCCATTTGCTGCCATACATCCCCAAACCATCACCGAGCCACCACCATGCTTAACCGTGCCGGCCATATTAATAGGATTCAGCTCTGTGTTAGTTTTCCTCCATACTTTTTCGCGACCATCGGATCCAGTTGTACAAAATTTTCACTCATCTGAAAATATAACGTTGTTCCAAAACRTTTGGTCACACTTTTCATGATTTTTTGCAAATAATATCCGTTTACATCGATTGGCGCTGCTCACGAAGGGCTTCTTCCTAAAATTACGTCAATGGTAACCAGCATTATACAGGACTCGGCGAATAATTTGAGTACTATACTGCTTCCCAATATCTTTTTCGACTTCAGCTTTTAACTTTGAGGCACTTTCTTTGGGATTTTCTATTATTTTACGAACAATCAGGCTACTTTCCCTGTCACTGAATACCCGTGGGCGTCCGGAGCGAGGCTTATTATTTGTTTTGCCAGTACTTTTGAACTCGTTTACAATCTTTTGAATTTTAGCAACACTTTTATCGACTATACGAGCGATTTCACGCAAAGTTTATTCTCTTTGTGGTATTTTATAATTAATTTTTTAATTTATCAGAGAGCTCTTTTCCTCTTCGTGCMATTGCCGCAAATTGTTCAGTAATTTAAAGAAAAATTGTAGAATTTTGAGTATCATACTGACGATATCATTGACTTTCAGCACGTTTACACAAATTGTGTAGAACTCTTTTTCTGTGTTCAGTTATTTTTAAGAATGGCATTATATTTATTGATTTAGGATTTGTTCTTTTGTGTAATAAAACGTTCACTTCGTCTGGCCGGGAGCTATGATACCCTTCTTAGCTGCATTTACTATAAAGTTCAATAGGGACCAAATGTTTGCGAGATTATAGCCCTGCCCTCGACAAAAATCCGTGCCAAATTTCGTGAAGATATCTTGGCAATTAAACAAGGTTTTTCTCACAAGGACTTGATATTGATAGATTAGTTTGTGTGGGAGCCCGTAATCAGACGAATATAACTAAATCGACTCCCCTCCTCACGCTAACATTTATGCATTTTACTTTATAGGGTATCGCATGTTTCCTTTTGTTTTGTTTTAATGAATAAAAACATTATTTAATAATATATTATTCATTGAAGAGTTGTAATTATAATTATAGTTTTTAATTTATTACGTTTAATGAGTTTTTTTTTAATTTTTATTGTTTTTAAAGTGATACACCGACTAAATTTCGTGTTTCAATAACAAAAAAAAAAATAAGTAAATAAAATGAAATAATTATTTCAAATATAATTTAAATGAAATTAAATATAAAAATATTAAAAATATCGTTTTTTCATCGCATGTCAGCCGATTACATTTCGAGCTCA